GTTATATCTGATTGACAGAGAAGGTTATACGACCTGGAACCTTGTGCCTTTCCAATATTTTGAAGATTTTTTATTTTAAATCTGAATACTTTTGTAATATTCGATTATTTTGCATAAAAAAAAAAAATTATTTAATCATTGACTATTAAATTTTATTTTAATTTATTAATGAATTAATTTATTATACAGCTAGATCTTCCTGCAATTGGTCTTAGACGCAATTTGACACTTCTAGTTCCTACACAAACTTTCATATTATTGCGTTAGTTCAGAAGGGCAATTTCTATAACACGTTTATATCAGACGTATCCACATAAAAAATAAAATCAAATAAATCTAGAACAAAGAATTGGATTTGTCATTCAATCAGTATTATGGAAACATATACGTCCCAACGCTTTACAAATCGAATTATCTATTGTTCGAAAATAGGTTTCCGACAAAGACATTATTGGAAAAAAAAAAATAAAACAAATGTTTTTATGAAAAAAACAAAGAAATGTACAATAGGAACAGAAGGATATATAAAATTAAATCATAATTAACTTCTCGTAGGGTAAGTTATTGTAATCGTCCAAAATGGAAATTGATTTTTTGTGTGTCCGCAATACTTCGTCCACGTCTTCGGGCGCACGGATCAAACAATTTGAATGGTTCAAAAACATTCGATTTCTATTGATAGGGCGATGTGCTGATTAGTTTTTGGCAAAGGCAGGTCCAGCCGTTACGGAGATACAGAGCGAAGAACGCAGAAAATTTAAACCGAGTTTTTGAGAGAACGGAGTATCCGATTTGAATGATCCAAAAATCATTCAATTTTAATGATTAACAGAAGTGTTGATTAGTTTTTGGCAAAGGCAGGTCCAGCCATTTTGAAAATACAGACCGTAATGTACCAAAAATGGCTGTTTTTGAGATAACTTCATTGATTCAAAAAACTTACTGCTTGTTTTGACAAAACAATTGTTTTGAAAAAATAAAAAAAATAAAATTTTTTTAATTTTTTTTTGTATATAGGAAATGATTCAGATTTTAATTTTAATTCTGGCTGAAGTTCTAAAGCTCACCTCTATACTTTAAATTTATAGTGTTTATAATAATCAATTTCAAAACATTTAATATTCCTCGAACATTTCGTCACGATACGGGACGTTCCAGCAATTTGTCTTAAGGCACGATGCTATACACCACTAGTTACTTTTTTATTCGATCTCCGGAACCGTTAGACCTGCCTTTCCAAAGGTTTAATCATATCTTAGTTTTGTCAATACAAATAAAATGTATTTCAAATGGAACGATCCGTTCTCTCAAAATCTGAACTACAATTTTTGTCTCCTTTTGCCTCGTATCACCGAACCGGGCTAGACTTGCCTTGGCCGAAAACTAATCAGCACGTCTCCTTATCAATAGGAATGGAATGTTTCTTGCATTATTAAAATCAGTTAGTTTATGCTCACGAAGTCGTCGACTAAAATTTGTATCCGCACAAACACACACATACATACATACATCAATTTTTTCTAAGTTATGCCAAAACTTAGTAAAGATGTATAAAAGTTTTCATTTTCGATTTTTTTGCGATTACTATAACTTAGAGGAGTTAATCATTGCATATCTTAACGTTTACGGGGTTTCTGAATATTTTGGCATATGTTGTGATAAGATAGATAGATTAAAAGTGTGTAGAAGTTTGTGATCCTCCGAAATGCTGCCGAACTCTATTAAATACACTTGCACTTTGTTTATATTTTTGAAGGACCAGATATATTTAGATAACGGCTATATCATACCGATTAAAAGATGATAAGTAGTTTAATTATTGTATATTGGAATGAAATAATACGATATTAAGATTTATAGATGATATGTTACTTAGTAGAAGTTTGAATTATTACTGACTAAAAAGATTTGCATTTTTTTTTATTTTCCTGGTTGGCCCATTTTGTGGAATTAAGCGACATCCCATTACAATTTTGGATCCAATCAATGGCTATTACTTTCATCAACCAATCAGGTATTGACCGGTGATTGCATGGTACGTAGAATTTAATCGGGTTACAGGTGATCCGAGTTTTTTAGAAAATATATCAATTGCAGGATGATATATTTAAGGACAGGATGCATGACAATAATATAGATTATTTTAATTTGAAATAGTATAACAAATGATTAGGATTTATTGCTGTTATCCTGAAAGAAAAAAAAATATAATTAGACCAAGGTTGGAAATGAGGCGTAAACAGCATACTTTTAAAAAATAGATACATGTATGTATTTTTATTGGTAGGGAGCATTGAAATGGAGCATCGGATTCAAATGATTTAATAAGCATCAATTTATAAAAAAAAATTAAATACCCAAAATTATTCGGATTCTAATTATAGCTAAAATTCTAAAGTTCACTTATATACTTGTCACTAATTTAACTTAAATGCCATTAAACTAACTCCGCTTGATTAAATTTTGTTTATTTACTTTTCCTGTAAACATAAACGTCGTCATTCAATTTATAAGCTCTCATGTTTTGACTATGAAATACGAATAATAAAAGTTATAGTATTTGTAATAATATATTTAAAAATATTTAAAATTTCTTTAATATTTTCGATACGGCAAGTTACAGCAATTTGCCTTAAGGGTGTTGCGCCAAAATTTGTCATTTTTTTCGGAATGAAAAGTAATAAAATCATGATGTTAAAGATAGTTATTTATTGTACTTGAAAGTAATAAAATAAAATATAATTGTAAAAAAAATTGAAAATGGAGGTACCACAGCCATTTCGGCGATTAGCGTCAAATCCGCAGCACGCAAAATAACTACAACAATTTTAACTTTTTTCATTTGAATTTTCAATGGTATATTTAAAATAACATTTCGAAGTGGCCATCATAGCGGATTTAAAAAATATCGATTCTTGTTTGTTTGGCGAGGCCTTTGTTCAAAATCGTTGAATTTCAATAAAAAAACGGATAGTAATTTGTTAATAATTAATGAACAAATTAACATAAATATTCAAATGAAAAAATCAATTTGTTGCAATTATTTTGCGTGCCATGTTATAATATCGTGTTATAACAAAAACGTGTTCAATATTTCGAAATAAACTATAGATAAGAAAAAATAAAAAAATGTCAGTTTAATTTCTTTGTTATTTTCTTCCCTTGATGATTTTATATTAGAGCGTCCTACTTTTGGCGCATCCGTCAAAGACTTTTCGGCATGCAAGCCGTTTATAATCGACTTCAAGACAAAAATTACATGTTTAGATGCCAATATAAATCCCCAAGACTATTATCATTTATAAAATATTGATTAGACCATCGTTGAAATTATCCCCAGCAATATTAGCCCCAATATAGTCAATCGTTATATGTGTTGACTCTGCACTGATCATCTATTGGTTGAAAATGCTTTAGCAGTTTATTCATACAATATAAATGTTTACTAATAACATATATTAATATAATCCAGATGATACATGTTATAATTTTGCTTTATAATATTTTTTGTTAATGTATTTGAGCGGTGTTGGTTCGGAGCAGTCCGACGCGTATAGAAAAAAGCTCATAATTACAAGCAGGGCCAGATTTAGAAATTTGGCGCCCAGGGGCACTGACAAAAATGACGCCCCATCCCTGAAATTTTACGAATTTTCGAACTTTTTTTAAAGCAATCGCGCTACTTCAGCTGCGAGGGACAAAATATATCGCAATTTTTTTTCTAACGGATAAACAATGTTACAGAACTTATATAAATGTCAACAAAGTTTATACTATTATTATTATAATATCTTTAAAATATCTGATAATTTAATGTCCATATGTCTTATGATCACTTTTGTCCGCCAAATGTTTCTTTTTCAAATTTTCTTATTGGATCATCAAAACCGGTAAACCTGCCCCCCAGAAATTTAAGCAGTTATTTATTCTGTAATTTTTTTGAATGTTATTGGACGCTTTTTTCTCAAAAACTGAATTGTCATTTTTAGCATTTTGGTCCGTATCTTCAAAACAGTTGGACCTGCCTTGACCAACAACTAATCAGTAAGTTTCCTTATTAATAGAAATTGAATCATAAATCGGTTGATCCGTGTTCTCGAATTAATTAAAAAATATTAGATTTGTATTGTTGGGGAGACGTGCTCATTAGTTTTTGGTACAGGCATTTCTTGTCTGAAATAGCTACGCAGCACGATTGCTTTGCAAAGAGTTCATAATTTTCGAAAAATTTCAAAATACATAAAATGTGTTTTAAAAGCTTTTTTTACATTTTTCAAAAAATTTTAAAGCTCTTTATAAAATGTAAATTTCAATACGGGATGTTTCAGTAATTTTTCTTAAGGCACAATACCATGAGTCACTGGTTCTAATTTTTTTTCGACGCTATAAGCTTGGAAGTGCACAAATTCGTCATTTTAAGAGGTCTCGAGAACTGAAGAACATATTTTTCTTAAGCTTGTTTACGGATATTTATATTAGTCAAATTGCCAAATTTGATAACTTATTAACCAATTTTAAAGTTTACGTTCGGAGAGGGAGGCAATGCAAAATAATAAATTTTAGTTATCGGTTATTTCAACCCAAATTTTGCATTGCAATTGTATTATGTTTTGTTAATTATATTTTTTGAAATAAAAAATGTTGTTAAAAAAAGTTGATTATATTGTATAGAATTTCCAATTTTGCCGCCCCCCAAAATTTGCCGCCCCGATACAGTAGGGATTTACAGTAGCCCCGATTGCCCCTACTGTAAATCCAGCACTGATTACAAGTAAAAGAAGAAAATGTCACTCATAAAATTCCTCATATTCTAAAAGGTTCAAAGTATATTTATAATTTTAAGCCTAAATTTTTTATAGTTTTTCGAAAAATCTACAGTTGTTTAAACCCTTAAGTAAGCGCTGCTGGTATAATTATATTGAATGGAAATTTTTACCATATCTCATACTAAATTAGAATTTGAGTTATATTCAGTTTATATTCAAAGGAACTGCACTCACCGAAATGAAAACTTCTTCGGCCTGCTGCAGTATAGCAATCCTCGACCATCCAAACTTCTCCATTAGTTTGATCCTCGTCGGGTTGTGCACCGTAGCGGACGGATGCGTCCGAAACAGAGTTGGAAAACGCCGCCTGTCCGACAAGGCCGGAGATGAAGCCCCATAGCACAACTAGAACAATGTAATAATGTAATAATACACACGTCAGCAAACTTAGATTCAATATAACTAAGAACTTAATGCATAATGGTATGTCTCTGTCACCGTAGAATTTTTTATTTGATTTTCTTACAAGTAGCTTTTATTTTTATCATATAAACAAAAAAAAGTATATTTAAGATTGTGTTGATAGATGTAGCAATCAGTTGTCACAGCTCAGCGTTTCAATATGCAATTACAAAGGCTCCGCAATTTGACTTTGAGCAATTATATTGTCAAAATCAAATCAATTACATCACAACAAATTACACATATCATCTAATTCATCATTGCAGAAGTGTTTTTTGCGGTTTTTCAAAAGTTTGTCACCTGATCCTTTGAACCCCAAATGGTATTTTCATTTACCATAGACTTATATTTTAAAGTAAAACTTTTTTAGGCGCGACTAGGGTGTAAATCCGTACAAATGCAACAGAAGTCCGTTACGCCCAAACTGTTCATCACTCGCTCCCGATGAGATCATTTCTATACGGGCCAATTGTGATTAGTTGTCGTTTATGTAAATAGAGATCTATCGTTGCATGCGTACCGACATCAACGTTGCATGCGTACCGGCATCAATGTTATATGCCGTACCGATATCAACAAGAAAATCGGCATAGATAAATAAACATTTTAAAATTATATCGTAGTACAAATCTTGATTTAATAAAAAATGCCTGAATCAAAAGAATATTTTACCCTGTTCCTTAAAAATAATTATACGTAAAATGATAATCGTAAGTTAATTGATTAGAAATTATTTCTATATTATTCGTAGTTTCCATAAATCTTTGAAGTTATTGAAATGGAAAATATTTTTTAGGCAAGACAGATATTACAGCTGTTCAAAGAATGAGATTATATCGCCAGCAAAAAAGTAAAAAAAAAACAAGCAGTCAATGAATGTATGGATGTTAATTTTAATTGCAAGAAGTTCTTCAAACACAATTACATGATGAGTGAAGTTGCGAAAACAATATTTGTTTAGGCGTTGTTCAACATAATCCACTGTGTGAACGAATATTGTAGAATTTATTATTCAGCAATTACTTCATTTCTCTAATAAAGGTTCATTTCTAAATGCTAATTGCAATGACAAACCGATCAAGTCTGTTTTAAATATTGTTATTAAATATTATACATATTTTAATGCTATTATAAATATATAATTTACAACTTATCATTATATAGATGTGTATAATGGTTGACACTAATAAATGTGTGCATCACGAGTATTACCATATTACTAATAAACATTATTTAAGATTGTTTTATGATGTATTTATTTTTACTTAAATGCCATCTTGTACTGCTTGTACAGTAGCAAATGAGTTTTACTTCAATCGCGAGTGAACCCTACGCGCACTCTTTTTTCAAAATATTTATTGCTTTTGTTAACTTACTTTACTGTTTTTTTTACTATTTTTTTATTTTTTGCATCTTTGTCAGAACAAAGGTTCAACTTGTTCTTAATACCCCACCTACTCGTAAACTTTTATTGAGGTTATACAAAATAAACTGCTGAATCCAACTTAAAAATAACGCCCTTATATAATAAGTAAATATTGTGTACTTTAAAGTTATATAAAGGTCTTGTAAACTAAAGAGCATTGCTCACAACCAAAAAAAAACTTTTAAGAGTAACTTTTAAGAATAAATAATAAAAAAGAATTAAAAAAAACTTTAGTTTTGGATTTTCAAACATTGCCATTTATCTTTCGATAGCGACGTTGTTAAAATTAAAGTGATGGCTTATACATTTTTTCCCACTACTTTCAAATATTGTTGTTAAAAAATTCTTGTTTTTGAGATATCGGTGGTTCCATTTGCATTTTACAGATATATTTTAATATATTAAAGAGGTTTCACGAAACAATAGCTATATAAGTCTTTTTAAACAATGCTTTTTGGTCATTTGATACAACAATAGAATTAAAAAATTTAATATAAATAGCTTTAATCTAAGAGTTGCTAAAGAATTTTGTATATTTTTGTATAGAAATGTGTATCAACTCTTACTACAATGCTATGGTAAGCACTTCTAAGCATCTCTGCTATTTAGTTGATCACAATAATATGTTTCTTGAAATTAAATTTATAATATTTACAAAGATCACACTGCATACAAGTCTAATGTGGAACTTATTGATAACTATTCGTCAGAAGAAATCAACTTCAGAGGTGTAATAACTAGTGATTTAATTTATTACTTATAAAATTGCTTTTGAATCAATACACATTATAAAACAATTCAATAACGTATACGGTATAGGTATATATACCTTAGGTTTTAGGTATATATACCTAAAAATTATATTCAGACATTTAAACTAAACAACAGTGCTCGAAACTAAAACAACTAACAACGAAATGACAATGACAATGTTTATTTCGTGCTAGCATATGCCTCATTTGAGCGAATATTTAGCAAAATGCCTCATTTAATTTTTCAACAAGCTTAATTTATAACCGTATTTAAACAACGAAACCAGTTAATTTTTTATAATTTGAACTGCAATTTCCGAACATAAATGCAGTATTATAGAAGAATAGAAATACATTATGTTTAAAGACAAGTTGCTGAAACTTGCCTATTGAAAAAAGAATATAATGAGTATTTGCATTTTTTACAATTTATATTTAATTATCTCCGTCGCTATTTGATACATATGAATTTCTAAATAAATTACTATCATATCAAATAACAATAAATAACAATAGCAACACATTCATTTTTTTTTTAAATAATAATGACTCAAAAACAAGAATCAGAATTATTTTAACTGAAATTTCCAGTAGATTATAAAAGTGGGTATTATACATTATAGTTCTCGTATTAAATACGAAAAACACAGAGCATTACGCAACTCGTAAAGGCATTAGCAAAAGCTGGAGCTTTGTCATCTTTAACGATGTCGTAAAAATGTCTTGAAGGCCCGCTGTCCCTTATATATTATTTTGTTTACATCCGTCATCAAATAATTCGGCTTTTATATCATTCCGGGGTATATGATGCCCGCAATCGCGTTTCACGAGCTTTGTACAGAGAAGAATGGGTATTCGAAAATATTCATAGAAATTTTAACATATGGTTGGCTTTGTTCAATGTAATAGGTTTTAAAAAAGGCAGGGTGATTTTAGTATTTGTATGTAAATCTGCAAAGAAAACACCAATAACAACGATGGTATATTTACACAAACAATGGGAAATAAATGAAAATATAGGAAAGCAAAAATATCACAATTTTCTGAATCGGAGTAACATCACATAAATCTAAAATATTTTATCATTAACAGTAATAATAAAATATTGTTCTTTAATATTGCGCCGTATCTGATTTTGCTGATATTTTTTAACTTTCCGTAGGGTAAGTTATTGTAATCGTACAAAAACCGAAATTGAAAGTTTTTACATTTCTTCACGTATTGAAGGTTTCAGAACATTTTGGCATACCTCAGAAAAAATGGATGTGTGTGTGTATATATGTATGTATACAATTTTTTGTCCACATTTTGAAGCGCACGGATAAACCGATTTGAATAATTCAAAATACATTCGTTTCCTGTTAATAGAGAGATGTGCTGATTAGTTTTTGGCAAAGGCACGTCCAGCTTTTTCGAAGATAAGAAGCAAAGAGTGCAGAAAATAGAAATGGATTTTTTGAGAGATCGGAGCATCGATTCGAATGATCCAAAAAACATTCAATTAGTAATGACGGGGAGAAGAGATGATTAGTTTTTGGCAAAGGCAGATTTAGCGGTTTCGGAGATAAATGTGCAGAAAATGGCAGTTTTTGAGAGAACTAAGCGTCTGATTTGAATGATTCAAAGAATTTTCTGCTTGTTTTAACAAAATAATTGCTTTTGAAAAACAAATATTTTTTTTGTATATAGAACATAATTCTGATTTTAATTGTAATTTTGACTTGAGTTCTAATATACTTTAAACAAATATTTTCAACTTTGATTTCAATTTATATAATTCTTATAAATATTCGACAATGTTAAAATATTGATTTATTTGATAACATTCAATATTCCTCGAACATTTCGATGCGGTACGGGAAGTTCTAGCAAATTTCATTAAGGCACGATGCCATACACACCACTAGTTTATAATTTTTTTTGTTCTGCTATATTTGCAAAATTGGTAATCTAATCCATTTTACCCCATAGCTCACTTAAAAAAGATAGCCAAATTGCAAGAAGATCCACTATTTAATTTTAAAATTTTACGCAAGAATAGCTATATTATATAATATATGCAATGCTATTTATTAAGCTGCAAAACAAAACTAGAGTTATAATCTTTATCAACTCTTACTAAGACCATAAATCTTGCCTTGGTAGGTATTTCTGTTTAATTTGTCATGATCAGTCTTATTGTTCCTTGAAATACATTTCTTACAAATAAGGTAAACATATTTCCATTTGAAATATACAATTCATTGAAATATTTTTTACAAAGACACAACTGTATACATTTTTATGATTTCGCTTTCATTGAAAACGATTTCCTATTGTAATCTTTGAAATATACTTATAATATCTGTAATTGTATAAATCAAATTGTTTAATACATTTCATTTCATCCTTTTCGTGTTCTGAAAATGTATTTTATTTAAGTGCGGATGTAAACTGTAATCAATAGCTATTAACGCATCAATAAAGAACGTATTAGATTCTGATCAGAATCGCTCAAGCACGCAGCAAAATTTTAAATTTTGATAAATTTTTGAATCCAACCGCTTATTGTAAACCTCCAATAATTCAGAATGTTATTTCAGATTACGAAATCTATCGTTATACAAAGTTTAATCAAAATCAAAAAATGTTTTTCCAAATAAAAAATACGCGACTTCCGACTAATACATTTCTTAAAATTTTGTTTTCTTAAAATCGATTAAAAAAAATAAAGCCTAAAAATTTTACACCTTTCTGATAATGACAAAAAAACGGCTTGGCCGATA